GGGCTATGTGTGCAGCACAGGTGTAGGATGTTTACCTGGCATGCACAAGACCCTCAGTTTGGTCCCCAGCAGCAAAGGAAAGAACATGTATATGTATATATTAAAATTAATATACACGCAATGAAACTATTAGTATAATACCGTCACCTAAGAAGTAGCATATGTGTCAATGACTGGCACATAAAACATCAGCTGAGGTCTTTTGCTTTTAGGGCTTTGAGGCAGGGACTCACTGGGTAGCTCAGGCTGGCCTCAAACTCACACATTTCCAACCTCAGCTTCCTGCTTTGCTGGGATTACAGGTTTGTGCCATGTTGACTATCCAAATATCTTTTTAATTTTTAAAAGATTTATTTTTATTTCATGTGTATGTGTGTTTTGCCTGCGTGTATGTAAGTATGCATACCGTATATGTGCTTGGTACCCATGGAGGTCAGATGAAGGTTTTGGATTCCCTGGAACTGGAGTTGCAGATGGTTGTGAGCCACCTGCTGGGAATTGAACCTGAGTCCTGTCTAGCTCCTTGGACCATTATCTTAATGACTTTGTTTAGTCTGTGGAGCTTGGGATATATGCCAGGGTCCCCTGGCAAGCACAGTGCAGATACTGCTAGGGTGATGCATTTGCGGTGAGCGGGGGTTCTTGCTGTGCTCTGTATTGGCTTTGCCAGAGGCCTCCCTGTGGTTGGGAAAAGGTAACAGCCCTGAACACCAAGCAGGAAATGATAGGAGTGGCAGCCTCCAACCGTGGGCCTCCTCACAAAAGAAAACAGCAAACCCAACCCCATCGCACCCCTGGCCACTCGGCCAGGAAACCAGCAAGCTCTCCTTTGTGAGGCCATGAGTGACTTCAAACAACCTGTCTATCAAAGTGGTGCAGGACCTGGGGGCTGGGTATTGTTTCTCTGTCTGTGGCCTGGCCTAATCTTGGGAGATAGCACTGGAGAAAGAATAATCTATCTGTGGTGAGGTTCTGCTCTCCAGACCTAATGTCACTAGATTCTCGTCGTCTGTTGTCACTCATGGAAGTTATGCTCTATTAAGTTGGCATGAACCTGAAATAACTGGGTTGTTTTTCTTAGAGGAAAGACAGAGTTAATTTCCTGCCGGCCTCTGGTCACGGCATTTTTGTCAACCAGTCAGTACTTAACCTTGTTTTATGTGTTTTTGTTGAGACACCGTTCAATAGTTGAATCATTAACGTTGAGTGCACGGCCAACTGCATTCTGACCCATGCCTGCACAAAGCTTGGCTAAAGCATATATTATTGTCTGTCCCCTCGGTTTTCTCAACTTTCTTGACTTAGGGATATCAGATAGCCTTTCAGCACCTGGAAACAGTAAAGTCTTCCTTGAAAAGCACACCATGGGGAAAACTTCAGGGCGCACCCTGGGAAGGGCATTTCACAGTTTGAGAGCAGAGCTGAACCAAAAGGCAGAGGCCTCTGTTGACTGGAATATACTTGAAGGCAATCACTGATGTCCCCCCCCCCGCCCCGCCCCAACTGGACCCATCGATCCTGAAAGTAGCTAGAGGCGTAGTTTTGGGTTGCCAGATGTTAGCACTGGGCAGTTCACAAGCAGCACATGTGAAAACATGGGAGTAAAGTGACCCCAGCTTGTTGGTCATGAATCTCCCTCCCCGCCAGCAAGCAGTGCAGCCATACAGGTCATGTGGTTGAGGCCTACAATCCCCCCCCATGGAAGCTTGCTAAAGGTTGTGAAAGGAAATGACATTCCATCCCAGATCTTATCTACTTAAATTGTTTCCTGCAGATTAACCATTCATTTCACCAAAGGTTTATCATGGAGCCTCTGTGTGAGAAACTGGGTCAGGGGCTTTGGGGCATGCAGAGATAAGCAGGACATCAGGGCCTTTGTCTGCTGCAGAGAAAAGAGTGGGCTTGTGTCTCTGTTCTGATTTCTACAAGTCAGAGTGAACTGTGCCTTTAGACGACTAAGAACAAACGCTTGCTTTATAGAGACATGAGGAAGGTGGGGTTGCGCCCCAAACCTGCTGTTTTGTAGCATAAATTGGATTTCGCCCGAGCCTGGAAGGGTGCATTTGGAGAACAGAGAGAGGCAGAGTGGCCTGGAGATCAGGCAAAGCTAAGGGCATTTCCTGACCAGGAGGCAAGGCCCTGAAGCAGGAGCTCAGACACAAGTGCTGTGCAGGTCTGAGACCACATAGCAAGGTGCATTGGGAGGGAGTGTAGGGAAGTACAGCGCCTCTTCACTTGGATTTTCCTCTCAGGCCACCAGCGGCTGTGACAGGTTTTTCAGAGTAAGGGAGTTATGTGACAGCAGTTAGCTGCTTCTAAACTCTGTGAACATATTTGCTGTTGTCTCTTAGACTAAGTACTCATTACAACCTTTTTTTTTTTTTAGGTCAGTGCTTTTAGTATTACAGTTTACAGATGGAGAAAAACAGAAGCACAGAGAGGTTAGGTAGCTTCCTCAGAATTCACAGCAGGAGGACTTGGGGCCAAAGCCAGGAAGTTTTAGTAACCTGGGGTTAGTTTCTAGGTGTTCTAAGCTGCTTGCAGAGTGTTCCAGGTGTGTTGGTGTGTGTGTTTGTTTAAGACAGGGCCTGAGCTTTAGCTGCAGAGTCCCTGGTGTGCACGGTTCCCCATCTAAGGACTTGGCCTCTGCTTTTGATGTTGTGCTGCCCAGAAGAAAAGGAAATGTCAAAACAATCTGCGGGAACTCTTAGACCTGGACACCAGGCTGTTCCTGCCTGGTGAGGGACAGATGTACCTACAATGAACACTTTCCAAGGTAGACCAGATGGCAAGTCCTTGAAATTTGAGGTCATTGAAAGGGTAGGGAACTTGTCTCTAATGAGAAAAAAAATATTCTTCTAATCTCAACAAAACTAAGTAAACCGAGGCCTTGTTTTAGAAGACTGCTTTGATGCAGATCACAATGTGCTACAATGACAGATCGGATGTTCCCTAACTGTGCACAAGACTGGATATTCCTTGGAGTCAAGGAATCCAAGACAGGCCTCAGGATGAATGAGGGAGTCTGAAGAGCTGCCCCATTTATATAACCTCAGCAAGTTAATATCTTGTTCCAGTACTTTAAATTATTGGTTGTTTTAAATGTGTACGTGGCAAAGATACTGTGACATGAAAATGTTATGTGAAAAGTAGAGAGATGGGCTCCCTACTTCCTAGAGTTTATTTTTCTTAATGGTTTTCTGGTCTTTGCTTTCTTGCCCCCCCCCTTTTAAGAATCAAAGCTGTTCTCTTATGTAGCCTTAATGTTGTTATACAATAAATATCCAGTCATGTCATCTGTAGATAACTACTACGATGGCTGTTTTTGGTTGTCAACTTGACTACGTCTGGAGTTAACTAAGACCCAGTATACCTGTGAGGGAAGTTTTATTCTCAGTTAAGTCATCTGAAGTGGGAAGACCCACTTTTAATCTGAATCTTCTGAGGTGGGAAGATCTACCTTTAATCCAGATCTCTTGAACTGGGGCCACGGAAGAAGACTTGCTCTTGGCTTCTGTCCCTCTTGCTGGCAAGCCCATCCCTTCACTGGCATTAGAGCCTACTTCTTTAGGATTCTGACACGTACTGAAGACCAGCCGAGATGTAATCAACCTTGTGGACTGAAGACCTACTGAATTCTTGGACCTTCCATTGGTAGACAGCCATTGTTGGACTATCTGGACCACAGCCTGTAAGCCATGTATGTATGTATGTATGTATGTATGTATGTATGTATGTATGATTCAAGTGCAAGTTCTGATGACACTTTACCGATAAAGCTGTTTCTCACCCTGTCCCCTATTTGGGAAAACTTAAGACCCCAAACCCTGAGCTTATGGCACTAACCATTGGGAAATCTGTCCTGCTGTCTCTTCATCTGTGAGAGTGGGCTTACAAGAAAGTTTTATAGGAGCGTGTGTATGTGTGGGTGGTGACTGCTCTTTTTATTTTAGAGGATTTGTTTAAACTTAATGACTATTGAGGTAGACAAGGAGAATGCAAGTCAATCACCATTCTGACTCCCTTTAACAGAGAGTACTGTGGTAATGAGATTAGTTTTCTTTTCAAAGCCACAAACTGAAGGATGCCTTCAGTGCCTCGGAGGTAGTTTCTTTATCAAGCATATTATACTGAAATAAAATGGCAATAAATCCACAAGGTTCGTTTGAAAGATGGGATAAGATGGAAATTGTCTAGCTAATCACCTAGGCTAATCATCTTCCAGGGAATTTATCCAAGGGCTTTTGCGCCCACTGGCTGAAGACAGGCTCCTTCAGCAGTGTTATCTGATGGGGATTTTGTGTCTTCTGAAAGCTGACCATTGTTCTGTTTGCTGGGGACTTAGGGGGTAGCAGGAAAAGACCCATGGCAAGCCGTGCAACATAAAACCCGCCTGTCATCCAGGAATCAGGTACAGAGTGTATTATGTAAATTCTTCACTTGTAGTTGGTAATGAATCAGTGTGCTTCTGAACAAATGGATTATCCCTCCTAACTCACCCTTCTTTAATACTGAAGTGAGAGCTGTAGCATTCTCTAGGCATTTAGTTAGCAATGCCTTCACTTTTGTTCTCATGTCTTTTGGGGGAGTTTGAAACAGAGTCTCTCTTTGTAGCCTTGGCTGTCCTGGAACTGGATATGTAGACCAGGTTGGCTTCGAACTCACAGAGGTCTGCCTGCCTCTGCCTCCCGAGTGCTGGGACTAAAGGTGTCTGCCAGCATGCTGGAAGATGTTGTTCTTGTGTCTAAATAGTTTTAAAATCATGCCTGCTTGCCGGGCGGTGTTGGCATGCACGCCTTTAATCCTAGCACTCAGGAGGCAGAGGCAGGCAGATCTCTGTGAGTTCGAGGCCAGCTTGGTCTACAGAGTGAGTTCCAGGACAGCCTCCAAAACAATACAGAGAAACCCTGTCTCAAAAAACATAAAACAAAAACCAAAAAACAAAAAGAATCATGCCTGCTCATGAACCATGAATTTGCATTCTACTCTTGGAGTCTTGAAAAAAAGATGTTACCCTTGTTTATTGATAGATCCCCTACCACACACCTTAAGCAGTTCTTTTCATGGGTGGTTTATAATATAGTCACATTAACATGGCATGCTTGTTTTTACAGAGAGCTGATTAACCTGTTAGGGTTGATTAATTTCTACGATGCATTCAAAATTATATTACAGTATTACGAATTCTGGGTTATGATTGCAAAGGTTATACCCAGCTAATTCGAGCAACTGAGCCTTCATTTCAAGGTTGAGACACTCTCAGTGGTTTTAGTTTTCAGTCGTAAGGTAATAAACCCCCAAAATTGTTAATTAGTGAGATTAGCATGTTCCTGAAAATTATAGTTGTACAGGAAACTTGAGGGTTCAGCCGAACTCACTTCTTCCAGTGATCACTTCCTGTTCAAGCTTGCTCCTTTGGTGACTCGCAGTGGCCAGCCCCACCCATTCCCCACATATGTAGCACTGAGTACCTGCAACATGATGGACTGAAATGGACGAGGAATGTTGGAATATTTCCCATTGCTAAACTTACTGTCTTGTTCCTGGTGTATGACTTGCCACATAATTCCAGTGGTTAGAAAGAGCATGCAGAAGCCAGAGATCTTACTGAAGGCTTGCTCTTCTGTATATTCTGTATAGGTGAGGCATGGACCTGGTGAAAATGGCAATCCCCACTCAACAATCCCCAGTTGTGTCCCCCCCAATAAAAGCCCATAGATATGTTTTATCTGTATCTTCTCCCAGAAAATTACTTTGACTCTGGCTGAAAATATACTTGTTGAATTCAGAAGGCTGAATTCATTCTTAGAAAACTCAGGTAATATTTTGCTTCCTTTTTTTGCTGTATTTTGCTCCATTTTATGTGTGTTTTACTCATTCTTCATTAACCCTAACCCTCATTTCCAGAAGGCAGCTTATATCCCACTAGCCTCCCACCATGGCAGGGTGGTTTGGGTTGTGTTCCCAGCGGGCACTGAGTAGCTTTGGAGATGCCACCCACAGTCATGGTTCCCGAATCGAGGCAGAAGTTCTGGTTGTTGTTCTCGGGTGCCCCAGCATGCTGGTTGTATTAAGTGGCTGGTTGAGAAGGAGCGTGAAGATGGGGAACATCCTCTATGTGCCCCTTAGTCTTGATTTCCTCATTTGTGAGGTGGAGGAGAGAAGAACGCACACCTCTTAGGGATTGTCGGAACAAGGGGGCTTCAAAAAGTTTACAAATCACGTGAACTCATTCTTGAGTCATTCTTGGGGTTGGATTCTGTTGCCTCTGAGAGAATGTATCTTCCTTGCTGCCTTCTGATGCCAGCTGGTGGTGACCTGGGTAACATGTCCTCTCCTCAGTCGGGAGAAGACTTGTGTCCTCAACCAGTGGAAGACCCACCGAAAGTTCAGACAGGATGAGTGAGAAGCATTCTCCCGCTGAGTGGATGACACCGAGGAGGTCTCTGGGGAGCTCCCAGCTTTCTGGCTTATCTCCTGTTGAGAAAACAAGAAAGAGTTAGATGCATATAGTGTCAATAGCTGTGGGCTTGCTGTCTGCTCCTTAGTACAACCTAAGCCCATTTACCTAAACTAGCCCAACTACAGCAGAGCTTCTAGACCCATCAACTTGAGCACACACACAATCATATTTACGTGGTTGTTGGTTCTACCTGCTGTTCCTACCCTCATCCCTCCCCTCCATTCACCTCGGTGTCTTCCCGGCAGCACCACCCTCCCCATTCCTGGCTGCCATCTTCCTTTCTGTCTTGTCTCCTGGGGCTCACATTACCTCAGAGCAGATAGTGGAGCCTGGCTAGGGTGTTCTGTCTGTCTTGGCCTCCCTTCCCCAGTCCTTCCCTTGCTCTCCCGGGAGGCATCTCTGTGCTCACCACAACTTCATCTTTCTGTAGCCTTGGATTCTCTAGGACATGACAGACATCTTCATTTTCTGGAATTTGGTACTTGGGAAAGTCTTGACAAACATTATGTTTTTCATGTCTGACCCAAACTGTAGGTGGAGATGGAGTACTGGTCAGGTGGGCGTCTTCCTTCTGAGTAGATCCAGGGAGCACATGGCCGTCATGTTGGCTATCTTTATCTTTTTCTAGAAATGTCTCGAGTTTCTGTACTAGGTTATCCAGTTTGCAGAGAGTCAGATTTGTCCTGTCTTCTGGCCACTTTTCCATCCACTGGTGGTGGCCATTTAGATCCAGATTAGCTAGAGAGTCTGCATGGTCAGAGCCCGCATCGATATCCCAGGCCAAGGTGATGCTTAGCTTGCAGAACTGCCCCGGGCCACCCTCCATCTGATCTCGCTTCCGGAAGAGTCTCCTGACACTCTCTGTTCCCCAGGTACCTTGGAGAGGAGGGAGGAGGTGGATGGCAGAATCCGTGGAGGCTGTCTCCTCACATGAGATTGTCTCCTCATAAGAAAACGTGTTCTCAGACGGGTAGTGGCCAATTGAGAGGCTCTGATCGGATTTCCATTCGGAAACAGAATCCTCTGTGCTACTGTAGTCACTGCTGGAGGGTGAAGTTGTCATGGTGCTGAGTCTCCAATCCCATGTCTTCCTTGACTCAGGGGACTTCAGAAGGAAAAAAGTAATAATACATGATATTGGAGAGGGAAGGGAGTTGTGTGAGCCATCCCTTCTTCTATTTGGAACTAGCCCACTCTGTACAGTATAGTACCATCTGTTTGTACATCCTGCTCTGTAATAATAACATGTCACAGTGTGACAAAACCCCATTGAAAAAGACAGGAAAGTGTGGACGGAGTTCTGTATGCTTTTAGTCCTCTATCCTGAGGTCAAGGTAATCAGTTTCTTAATAAGTACATGTGTTTGTGCACATGTATACACATATACACATATCCAAATACATGTGACTCTCACATCAACAGAAATGTACTATTAAACTTATGAATATGACTACTCTATATTAACTATTTTCTTAATGGATGGCCTATTAATATTAATTTTAATTAAATAGCCTATTAATATTAATTTCTCATTAAATGGCCTATCAGTAATTCTTAGATTATGTGGTTAACAACCACTAGATTACTTAAATCCATTAAGTGGTACATCATGGAGTTGGTGGACCAGAGATCTTAAATATATAGTCTTATTGATACCAGATTCCTTTCTGGAAAGGTGACTGCCATCCAAGCACCCATCCTCCTACCACCTAATAATATGTTGATTCTGCATTTTCCATGCTGCTCCCCCCAGCCACCCACCCCCGTACGTAGAGCTGGAAGACCTCATACACACACTCACACACGCCCATGCACACGCCTCTGCCATTCCCTGATGAGGACTGCCCACATGAGACAGGCGCTTCCAGGTCCTGAGACATAAGTGAGGGTGTCAGAAACCCTTCAGATCCCCGTGTGGTAATGATATAAAGGCCAACTGCTTCTGAGAAGTTTGTGTTCCAAGACTGTTGGTCACCATGGCAACAAAGAACCAAGTTTATGGTCAGAAATGTGTAAAGGGACAGGATCTGTCTCTTGAGTTCCAGAGTATTCTGTGCACTTAGCACAGTAGGCTGAACTCATCAGAACCAGCCAGATCCGTGCGATCTCTCCCAAATGTTTCCCTTCCCTGAGATTGTAGTTGAGGCTCGCCACCTGTCATGCTGTGGTGCTGGCCTCCGTCTCTAGGCTCTGTTAAATTAGATGGCTGTGGGTTTTGGCGGCTTGACACAGGCCTAGCGGTAGGTGGGGGAAGCACTCTTCTGCTGTCCAGCAGATTCAGCTTAGCAACACCCACAGATAGCCCCAACTTCACCAGTGACTGGGGGCCACTTAGCTGTGTGCTGGGTCTTGTGACAACCCAGTCCTGAGTCATCCTGGAAGGAATGCCCACTGTAGCCACCCCCGTTTTTCTGAAGAAGGAGCCAAGGCACCAGTGGCTGTATGCATGTTCACCTTCCCAGAGCCTGAATGCAGACAGGCCAGGCTTTCACACTCTTGGCGTCCAGCCCCTCGCACACCCTGTCTCTGGGGAGGGTCTCCAGGCACCTCCTGCTTACGTCTAGTCAGGTGAGTCAGTCCACAGGCAAAACCACGTCCTGGTTCCTCAGGGAACAGCGTGCTCCAGGAGACACATTCGTGCTGTAGAGTGCCCTACACAAGGAGCGCGTGTGGGGCAGGGGAGGACTTGAAGTGAGCACCCTGCCCCCGCCTGGTTTCATGCTGGCCAGGCTCCTCTGCTGTGACTTTGACCTCCTCAGGAGGCCTCCCTCTGACCCACCTGAAGAGGGCACGAGGCACAGCTGTGCTGCTCTGCCTCCTGTGAGCACAGGGCACTGTGGACTGGATGGGGACAGTGGAGAGGAGAGCATGACCCTGCAAACGAGGAGGGCTTCAGAGAGAGACCCAGAGAAACCTGCAGTTTTCATTTTTACCCTCCCTGCGCTCCAGTGCCCTCCCTCCCTCCCATTCTCCACTCTCCTTCCCCGCCCCCAACTCCAATCCGCTACTTTCTCTCCATACACACACACACACACACACACACACACACACACACACACACACACACACACACACACGTTTTTCCTCATTTTAACTACATAGTTCAGGTTAAATCCCTGAGACTTACCTTGTCTCTAGCCTCCGAGTAAAAAAAAAAAAGATAGTTACTACTAATAGTTTAATGTCTATTAATATACTTACTAATATATACATACATTTATTGAGAGTTTTGAAAAGCCATCATAAAACAGCAATGACTCTCTCCCCCTTAGCGTGACCTGTCCTTTCTACGTCTCCTTTTAATCAGGGGTTTGGGATTTTCAGCAACAATCGCTGTTGTGTTAGGTTTTTCTTTTCCTTTTCTTTTTGGTTTTTCGAGACAGGGTTTCTCTGTTTAGCTTTGGAGGCTGTCCTGGAACTCATTCTTTTAGACCAGGCTGGCCTCGAACTCACAGAGATTCACCTGCCTCAGCCTCCTGAGTGCTGGGATTAAAGGCAGCGCCACCAACACCCGGCAGTGATAGTTTCTTAATTGGGCTTGCTGGTCTAGTTTCTCTTGTACTACCATTTTACTGTCTCTTGAAGCAAGACCACCCATAATAAAACTGGAGATTGTAACAGTGATTGTGTGCCATGAAGCTAAAGTAGTCTGGGCTGCAAGCCAGCAACAATAGTGATTGAGAACTGGAACACTTCCTAAGAGCCATTGACTTGATGGGACACGAAACCTCAACGTGTAGAGAAGGAAGCTTCTGATTTGATGATTATAATTTTTGTGTCAGTTCTGGGTGTGTCTGCATGTGTTTAGCATTGGATCTGGTGGGCTGAATAAGGCAGGGTGTAGTCCCCTGTGGTGCTTGTCCAGTCCCTTGGAGGTCCGACTAAGTTAACTGAAGACTATAAAGGAAAGTTTGCGCTGCCCCAATGACCAGGAGCGGGACATCAGTTTCCCCGTCCCCTGTGCTCAGACAGGGGTGTAAACACCTTCCACTCTCCCGCTTCCCAGGTCTCCAGACTGAGACTACAGCTTACTGGTCACCATTTGGGGCAGATCTTGGAACTTCTTAGCAATTCCTTGTAATGTCTTAAGACATGTCTTCAGTTTCTGTGTCTCTAAAGAAAGCAGGATGCGTACCCACTTACTGTGCTATTTTTGAAATTAGTGAAGTATTTTATCTGGCCTTGTGATACATACCTGTGTTGCAGCCCCTGGGAGACCGAGGCGGGAAGACTGTTTGTAGCTCAGGCTGGCCTTGAACTTGTGATCATCTTGCCCCGCTTATGTGGGATTGTGGCTCATTTATTCATATAACTTTTTAAAGCTGACAGTTGAGTGCGCCTATCAAATTTCTGCCACTTGTAGCAATAGCAAGTTTATTTATGTTAATTTATTTGATGTGTGCGCCTGTGTCTGTGCACCACATAGCTGCCAGAGGCCTTGGTCCTGTGACTAGCGTTTAGATGCTCCTGTGACTAGCGTCACCATGGCCGTGAGCCTCCAGATGTGGGTGCTGTGAACCTAACAGGAGCCCCTAGCAAAAGCAGCCAGTGCAAGAGCCCTCTCTCCAGCCCTGTTTCCAACATGATTTTATTCATCTGTGAAACGGAGATCACGACATCTTCCTCGGGCGACTTTGAGGGGAGTGGAGGTTGTATGTAGGTGTTCAGTACCGTTTATTTTCACTCCACGCTTAAGCACACAAACCGCCCCTCTGCCTTGCATTGGCAGGACCACCGTCCTTTGGGATAAAAAGACTTATTTTATTCTGATATATCAGACACAGAGTCATTTCTACTCCTGGTTATATATCAAAGTCGTGGGCATATATTAATCATAGTTGTGTTTATGTGATGGTCACCTCCGCAAAGGCAAGGCGGAATGGATGTTCAAGTTAGTGTCTGCTCCTGCCAGCATGGCACCAGACAGCAAAAGCCTCAGACTACAGGGGTCACAGGAGAGGGACTTCCAGAGTTAGTGTCCTTATCCCGGTCACTGCAGAGACTTCCTTTTTGAGTGTATTCTGCCACCAAGAAGAAAGAACCAGAAGGACTCTTTGGGCTAGGAGCACTACTTTCTCTGTATGTTCAGCTTGGACGGGGTGATGGCCCGACAGTTCACCCCTTGACAACACTCTAATTTGGGTGCAGTGTTTCTACCAACACCAGAGATGCTTGAAGGGAAAGACTGGGAGGATATAGGCTCCCCAGGAAACAAGAAACCAACTGAAGAGTGGCATTTCCTTAAGAGACTAGTAGCAAAAAGCTTAACAAGCTTTGTTCTGTCTGGTCCTCAGGGCACTGTGAGGGGAAGGGTGGGGGTGGGCGTGAATCGAGGGGAGGTCGGAAATACTCAAGGTCAGTAACCCAGTCAGAGGCCGGAGGCACTGGCACCTAGTTCCCAAGTTAACCTCATAGAAAGTGGGGCTCAGGGCTGGGGGTGCAGCTCAGATGCAGAGCCCTTGCCTAACCTATGTGAGATGCTCTGTTGAGTCTCCTCCTGCACTACAGAAATACAGCGGCAGGACGGAGGCAGCCTTACCTACAGTGTTTCTTGTATTTTGGGAAAGGACACATGGTAAAAAGTATCTGGAGAGTAAGTGGAAATGACCGTGAACAGTAGCAGGCATAGCATGAGTGCCTGTTGCAAATAATAATAATTTCCAGTTTTCATTAGAAGGAATGCAGGATCTGGAGCAAAGCAGACAGGGAGCAGACAGGGCTGGGGTGAGTGGGGCAGGTTGCTGTTGGCTGGCTCTGCCTGTCTCTGGCTGTTATCACTAAGTTCCACAAAGGCCTCCCTCACAGGCCTGCTCCAGCCAGAATGCCCTCCTGTTTGCTTCCCTCCCTCATCTGCTAGCTCACACACACACAATGGCCTCCATTCATTTGAGGGCCTCTGTGCACATCCCTTGGAAGACAGTTTATTGCCCCAAGTAAAGCCAGTTGATGAAAATGATATTGATTAACAAATACTATTGATGAGTCTTTTAAAAATCTTGCAAAATTAAAAATGAACACTAAAAATTATGTTTTAAAATCCTCCACGAAATGCTGAAGAAAAGTTAGAAGCTTCAGGAGAAGTATTTTTAAGGGAAGTATTTTAAGTTCTCTTAAAAACAAATCTCTCAGGGATACAAGGTAATTGGTAGTTGCCTGAAGCTGGGCCTGGGTGTGGTACTCCCCCTCCCCCCCCAAATGGGCAATATTAAAAAACCATCTGTCAGGAAAAGACAATTTGAGGTACAAGTGTGATCATTAACTTTTAATTTCCTAATAGTTGCATTAAAAAGAGGAAAAACTCAGGTAAAATTATTTTTTTTGCTGAATGTCAGGTAACTCATTTTCAATATTGTAATTCCACATAAAATAAATATAAAAGTATTTATTAAGCTCTTTTGCATTTTCTCAGCCAAACCTTTGATGTCTGTTATGGTTTTTACATTTAAATCATACCTGGTTTGGGGCCTACACAGTCTTCAGCCCCCATCCGCATACAGCTTTGGTAGCAGTTACATGGCTGTATCCGTCGCAGGAGTTTATTGGACTGTGCACCTTAATGGGCAACTTTTGCTGTATATAGTGCTATATATAGTGTATTTCCAGCTTAAGCTTGCGTTGGCAATGTATGTTCCTTCCGTCAATATGCATGAAAACTGTTTTCTTAAAAATGAACCCTGAGAAAATGGGATTTGACAAGTCCGTTGTCAAAGTCAAAAAGGGGAAGTTAGCCACAAGCTAGTAGTTTTCATAAACTTGGGGAACGTGGGTGGACGAGTGAGACTGTGTATGAGCACTTTCTCGAGTGTTTCTATCACCCGACGCTATGTGCATCTCGGTTTAGAAAGGACTAGTGGGAACTCAATTAGACAGTGCAGATTGTTTTGTTTTGGAAGACCCAGTGATAATTTTTGTAAAAACCTTGCCATCTTTTTGTCTTACAGCCATTTCTT